AGTATGACTTGTCAAGCCACTCACTGACTGTGTTCAGCGCACCCAGAGTCAACGACAACCATTGCGACTCCCTATATAATCTCATGCTCACAGAGGACGGCAAGCTGGGAGTAATCCAAGACTTGCATCCGCATCTCAAATTGTGGACAAGTGATGCGAGTGATGGCACTGATGCACGATGGGCGCTGAGCCGGGTCATCTCCCTGTGCAATTTGCTCCCAACTAGTGCTCGCTTGCATGAAGGTTATAGAGTGGGAGTGGTGGGCTTTGCTGAGGGAGCAAATGTAATTTTCGTGAGTACGCTTGACGAACTCTTCGCAATTGAGCTACAATCTGAGCATTTGAGGAAGGTGTGCGATTATTCTGGCTACCATAATGTGGTTCCAGTTGTCACCTTCTACACTCCTGTGCCCCGAGGCCACCACCAAAATCTGCTTGTCTCGGAGCCTGGTGAGGTGGCAGGTGGCGAGGTGGGTGGAGAGGAGGAGAAAACAGTAAACCAGGCGCAACAACTGTTTGAGCATTGTTCCATTACAATCAAGGAGGGGGACTTTCTGAACACTTTCGAAAGCATCCAACACGACCACGATATTAGGTTAGGGCTCTACTCCCAAACTCCTCCCCATTCTGAGCTACGCTGAAACATTTGCTTGGATGTGATTATGAAAATAAAAGAACTTCCCCCTTAGTTCAGTGCCCTTTAAGATTAGCACCATGTGCCATTAGTTGCTTTGTGACTTGTAGTCGTTTTGTTCAGGAGATGCATTTGCAACAATTTATATGTTTTAGCCTTCTAGCACGAAGTGGTTGCCAAGCGATAAGAAGGTATTGTTTACCACTATCCTTTTCTTTGGACCAGTGTTGGCGCCACAGATGAAAAATATGTGTGATGAAATGCTTTATTTTCTTTGAAGTTTGCATTGCTCTTTAGGTTCTTTTATGAAATTCCACGTTTATGGAATAGTAAATTTTGGGATCAACCGGCCCCATAATTTAAACAGGGCACTGCCACGCCCATCAGATAGTCATATACACACAGAAAATGGCCATGTGATTATGCATATGAAAGTTAGTAGTAGTCCTGTTTGAGAGTTGGAAGGTACTGTTTGCTGTTTGGACTTTGTCTCATGAATTCTCATCATCATTCCACAGAAGAACGTTACTCAATGATGTTTTGCTAATGATTATTTTTAATTGATAGAAGATGATGTTGAAAATGCTTTCATTTTTCGAAACACTTGTGCCATTGATTGACCATATCCTTAACTTGTGTCTGGTGCCATATGTCAGCCATTTGCTTCCTAAAGTATAATTTTATCTTACTTGCATCTACACTTGGAATAGCAATGCCAATTTGAACATATATGGAACTATTTAAATAGTGTACTTGCACAAGGTAGCTTTTACTACAAATATGAGAGTTCCTCTTTTTAGCAATCATGACTTACATAAGTTATGCAATAATGTCAATAGTTGGTGTTAGATGAGCCAATTTATTAACCATGATCATGCTATAATGATTAAGTTGGATCATTTAATCATTTGTTTTCATATCTTCATGTTGCCATTTCTTCAGGAATTTCCGATGGCTCAATAAAATTGATGGTCATGCATCAATGTGTTTTCTTCTTATTAGGGTAAATACTGGAAATAGTCATTTTTTGACATGAAGACCGACTTAGTCGTTCAGTACTCATTAGGGGAAAACTCAAATGGACAATATAAGTGCTAGAAGTACTGTAAATAACATTGGGGTCGTTGGCAGGGGCTTCAAATGTGGTAATGTCAGGCTTCAGATGGCAACAAACTATTCAAATATGATTCAACTAGATATAAAGTGCCGATATCGCCAAGATATGTCTGATGCATCGTACAAGATGTTTCTACTCTATTTTCATGTTGCCTCGGTGGTCAATACTCATCTGTTGATGTTTATACAAGTAGCTACATAAAAGTGGGTGTCATCCAACATTTAATCTGTTAATTTTTTTTGTCAATGCTATTGCAGTGTTTGCCATGTTCCATATTGAATTGCAATTGCTGTGAAAAGTCTCCATTGTTTGCCATTTGCCGTGATGACAATCTTTGCATTAGCCTACGAGGGTTGTGTAAACCATTTTGCATGTTCCTTTGTTGTGTGAAATGTTGCTTTTATGTAAAGTTCATGTTTCATTCTACTTGCATTACATGCCACTTACAGGAGTTAGCTTTTGATTTATATATCTGTTATTCAGCTGTATTAACATCTCAATCTGGTAGTGTAGTTTACATTCTAGACTAAACTTATTTTGTGGTATTGGCTGTCCAGTAGAACAAAATGCTTGTAGATTTTCTAGGGATGGTGTGTATTGCATTATTTAGCATTTAGCTTAATCAATCAAGTAATTGTATAGTGTTATCTGACCACTTCCAAGTGAAGTACTGCTGCCTATTTATTGTTGGCCTAACATGTGTAAGTGAATTTTCTTTTGTTTGTCTTTCTAGCACTGGTCAGGATACTTGGTCAGGAGTGTTGTGCACTGACCTCTCTGATTGTGTAATCCTTATCCATTTTCCGCAGGTCGCCTTGAAGGAGAGGTCACCGGCGGTGATGGTTGAGCTCTTCCCGGTGTTGGTGGGTGGCGACTACGGCCGTGTTCTTGCCGGCGCCGATTCCACGCCACATGCCCTCCCTGCACCCCGTAGCAAGAGCTGAAACACATGCGAGCACTCCTGCCCGACCTAGCCAACGACGCAAGGCTGCTGCTGCTCCCCGTCTTTATCGTGGTGGTTCTGCCATAGATCTCTAGGTCTGTTTCTAGTGTTGATCGTCGTCTCCTGCTAGCAGTAGCCAACATTAATTTTGGTTTTGTTCATGAGCACAATCATCTCCATTAGTTCAGCTGCTGAAAAGAAGAGCAGAGAAGGATGGTGTCTGCAAGTATCAGGATGGATGGATGAATTCATCGGCGTAGTTAACTAGGTTCTTATTTCTTTTGGCGTAGTTAACTAGGTTCTTATTTCTTTTCTAGAAGAGGAGATAGTTCCTCCATGTGTCCTTTTGTTTCTTGTTGTGGAACAAACAACCAAACAAACATACTATTTTGTACATAATAAAATTTGTGAATTCTCAAGAGGTTGATTCTTTGTTGATTTGGAGGTGCATGGATGAATGAACCAGGGCCTGTTGGTCTCCTTGTGAAATAAAAAGATTTGCTTGCTTGTGAACGCTACCTAGCATGTACTTGTCATTCATAGCACTTGTCATTCAGACGGTGAAATAAGAGAGGAGAGGTTGCCCATGCCGATGAACTTCAGGGAAGGTTTGGACTTAGAAAGAAAGATGAGACGTTCCAAGAACAATAGTTATTATATATATGAATGAATTACAAAAAAATTGGCACCGGAATGACAAGCAAACAAAAAACGTTCGGGGCGGTGCCCGGTCAAAAATAAAAATAAAAAAATGAGGCTGGTAGGGCACGCCCGCTCTGACTTGGCGGACGCAAGCAACGCGCGCCGAACCCCACTGGCAGCCTCACATTCCTCTTTCTCTCCTGCGTATGCCCGCTCTGAGCACCCGAGCTAGCTGCCTCGTGGAAGCCCATCCCTGACTTTGCCCAACTCGTCTGCCCCTACCCCGCCACCCCAGTGCGCCCTGCGACCTCACCGCCAGTCGTTCCCATCCCCGTGGAGGCAAGGGCGCCGACCAAATCTGCTCTTGCTCCGAGCCTGGCGCGGCGTGGCTCCCCCATAGCCTCGTACGATCAAGGATTTGTTGGCGATGTAATTAGCAGCAGGAAGACAAGATCTGTCACCCCGGTTTCTTGGCGGGCACTTCTCCACCCCGCCAAGTTCTTGGAGGGCGCTTTCTTCGCCGTGACGGTTTCTTGGAGGGCGCCTGCTCCGCCCCACGCGCTTTATTTGTGCCGCGGGCGTGTCTAGTGTGTGCCCACCTCGCGCTCCTTGCCGCAGCATATCCCATCCGGTGATTGGACGGCCCGAGAGGACCGGCCAATCACCGGAGGCTAGGTGCTGCGGCGAGGTGGGTGCGCTCTGGTTGGGCTGTGGGCATGTCTCACACGCGCCTTGCGTGCTCTGGTTGCCCCGTGGGCATGTCCAGTGCGCAACCACCTCGCGGACGGTGCTTGCACACGCCGCACACCTCGCCACGGCACCTCCCCATCGGTGATTAGCCGGTCATCTCGGGCCGTCCAATCACCGGCGGCGAGGTGAGCGGCATGCGCGAGCACCAGCGGCGAGGCCTGCTTGCTGTGACTGTGCCCACCGAGTGCGCTGCGCGGCCAAGTCTTCGGTTGCAGTAGATCGTAGATAAGAGTTTGGAGGCGCCAGCCACGATCACGTTCAAGACTTTCTGTCGAGTCTGAATAAAAGGACCTCGGTGTCGTGCGCTTATCAGCTCTTGT